AGGACTTTTCTGCCCAGGCTGGCTTTGAACTTTGATCCTCAGATGTCAGAAATAAACACAGGACAAACAACCCATGCTCTGGTTATTTTTCAGATAGGGTTTTGCTTTGTTTCCTCAGACGCAGCCTGAACTTTGATCCTCCTATTTCTGTTTCATGCTGTACTTGGGGTAAAAGGTATACATTCTGATACCCAGCTTTTGATTGAGATGGTAACTCAGGAACTTTTTGCCCAGGCTGGCCTGGAATCCTCCTAATCTCTTCCTTCCAAGTAGCTACAATAACGACAGGGTAATTAAGCCACTGGCACCTGGCCCTTCTTCTTCTACTCTTAATCTTCAAAACACAAGGTTTCCTCAGGCCTACCAAGTCCCAACTGTTCTCTATTTTCTGAATTCCTGTGTGTGGTAGAGTTGAAATAAGATGGCGGGAGAACGGCCGTTCCTTTCATTGCACTCCTCTCCGCAAGTTGGAGATAAAGACACAAGGAGTTGACAGCGTCCTCATCTTATTTTCTGATGTGCCTGGCACAGACACCAAAGACAGCTCCAAGTAATTGCTCTCCAAGCCCCAGTGAACTAGAACATCTTCATTTAAGTCATGCATAGCCTGGAATTTTCTTTTCTTTTTTTTTTTTAAAGGAGAGAAAGATGACTTTCTGCGGTAGTTGCTAAGCAGCCTGGCTCTCTGGGAGCTCAGATGTACAGCCCAGGCTTTGCTGAATCTCAGCGGGAAGCCAGGCAGCCCTGCAGAACTCTCTCCTTATGTAACCCTGACAGTCTTCTGATGCTTCCTGTGATTTGAACTACCCACCACTCCCCGCCCCCCCCCCCCCACCATTAACTGGTGACAAACTGGGAGAGGAATTGTGCTACTTACTGAGAGCTTTAGGTCCGATCTTTGGGGAAAATGACAATGGAAAGGCCTGAGGGAAAGTGAGATTTCATAGCATTTCACTTATTGCTTTATAGTGGGGGGTGGGGGGGGAGGAAAAATTAAGAAGACAAGGCAATAAAATAAAATTATGTAATTCTGGTGAACTTTAGTGATAATTCTTTCTATAAAGATATACAATTAATTGGAATCAGACATGAGTTAAACAGGCTTAGAAAATAGTCATCATAAGAGTCACTAAATGATTTTAATGAATGGATGAGCATATTCTATTGTTATGACACTGTTTCAATGAATATTGCAATTTATTTTCACTTTAAAGACTAAAAGCCTCATTATTTTTATTACATAACATAGTCATAAGATATAGGATATTATATACTCGTTATACATTATATATTCATTACATAAGATATTCATTATATCATTACATTGCATGAATATAATGTAAATCTTTTTCTGTTTTTTTTTCTATTTTACTTTTTGTTTTTTTCCAACACCCAGGCCTGGGTGCTGTCCCTGAGCTCCTTTTGCTCAAGGCTAGTACTAAAGCCACAACTCCACTTCCAGCTTTTTCTGTGATTGTAGGTACGAGTCTCATGAACTTTGCTGCCTGGGCTGGCTTTGAACCATGATCCTCAGATCTCAGCCTCCTGGGTAGCTGGGATTACAGGTGAGAGCCACCAGCACCTGAATCTATTTTACTATTTTAAGTATTTAGTTTTGGCTAATTTTTACTTTAAGAATGCTGTTAGAAAATTTATATGTAACTTTTTAGCTTTTACTTATTTTTATTAGCATATATTAATAGTACAAGGAGGTGGCTTATTCTATTTCATATGCAGTATGCCTGGAGCAAGTTCACTTTCTATTATACTCTCTTCATGCTTTTTTTTTTTTTGCTAATTGTGGGGCCTGAACTCTGGGCCTGAGCGCTGTCTCTCAGCTCTTCAGGTCAAGGCTAGTTCTCACTTGAGCCACAGCACCACTTGCAGCTTTTTCTGCTTATGTGGTGCTAAAGAATCAAACCCAGGGCCTCATGCATGCAAGGCAAGCACTCTACCACTGAGCCACCTTCCCTGCCCCATGCTCCTTTTTTAAACAGCAGTTAGTGAGTCTCATCATGCTATCTTCACATAATTCTTAATATTTATTGTCTATATGTTCTTCAAAGATATTGATGTTTGTAGTTAAATCTAAAAATAATGGCATATGTGTATCTTTATTGTTTTAGTTTCTCCTTTATAACTTACTACATTATCAAAGAACATGGATTGTTATCAGTGGTGGTAATAGGTCAGACAGGTCTTTTTTTTTTTTTTTTCATTTTAACTGGAATTTCTCTAGAGTTTTAACTTTGAGAATAAGGTTGGCTATTGTCTTTAGAAAGATGTCCTTGATGTCTGAAGGAAACAATGCTATTTCTAGTTTTAATAAAATAAAGAGGGCTGGGAAGGTGGCTCAGTGGTAGAGTGCCTGCCTCATATGCATGAAGCCCTGGGTTCGATTCCTCAGCACCACTTAAACAGAAAAATCCAGAAGTAGCGCTGTGGCTCAAGTGGTAGAGCACTAGCCTTGAGCTGAAGAACTGAGAGATAGCGCCCAGGCCCAGAGTTCAGGCCCCATGACCAACAAAATAAATAAATAAATAAAAATAAAAAATAAAGAACAAGTACTTCTCTTGCTAACACTACTTTTAACAAGCCAGGTGCTGGTGGCTCATGTCTATAATCCTAACTACTCAGGAGGCTGAAATCTGAGGATCATACTTTGAAGCCAGACCAGTCAGGAAAGTCCATGAGACTCTTATCTCCAATTAACTATCGAAAAACAAAGTGTAGCTGTGGTTCAAAGTGAGAGCGCTAACCTTGAGCACAAAAGCTCAGTGACAGCACCCAGGCCCTGAGTTCAAGACCCATGACTGACCAAAAAGGAAAAAAAAGATACTTTTAACATCCAAAATAATCCTTTTAAAATCAATTATTATTGTAAAAGTAATATACATAGGAGTAACAAAATAATCTTTAAATGTTTAAAAGATCTGGTTTTTGCATAGTTTAATTTTTTTTATAAACTCAATCTATATCCTCATGTTTTACATATTGGGGATGAAACATTGCCAGTTCTTATGGGTGTGTGTCCCAGTCCTAGGGCTTGAATTCTCAGCCTGGGTACTGCTTTTTTTGGGCTCATGGCTAGGGCTCTACTACTCATGTTCTCATGGACTTCCCTGGCCAGGCTGGCTTCAAACTGTGATCCTCAGGTCTCAGCTTCCTGTATAGCTAGGATTACAGATATGAGCCACAGTTGCCCAGCTTTCTTACAGATTTTTAAGACAAAAAAAGAGGTAATAAATTGATAAATTTATTGATTGATCCCTAGAGTTACACATGTTCATCTTCAGAATAGGGAAAATAAGAGACTTTTTAAATCCTATAATCATCCATATAGCAGCTAACATTTCAGCACTTCCAAGCATGTATGGGTGAACAAAGCAATTCCCATGAGCGATACTATGTGTTCATTACAAATAAAACATGCTGAATTAACCACAATGGTTTTCTTCTGGATAACTTTATTAAAATTTGAATAAATATATTCAACTTCATGGATTCATTTATTTGGATATAGTCCCGTAAGATGCCTTCCTAGGAAAGGTGGTAAAACATGGTGCGTAGCATCGATTTTGAGCTCTCAGAAATTTGCCATTTGAATAGTGCTATGTTTCAAGTAGCAATTATAAGGAAAGGTTCGATCTTTCCAACTAGGTTTTTTTTAAAAAAAAAAAAAAATCAATTCCTGGATGAAGCAATAGGTGTACGTGTCAGATATCAAATATCACAGAGTTGGGAAATAGAAGGAATTCAATGGTCAAAACAAACTTTTAGATGATGCTCAGAGATTTAAGTTTAAGCAGAAAAGGACACTGGCTAAGCATCTGTCCAACACTGTGGACAACAAACATTGCTCTATGTCCTACAGTATGAAACTTCCAGTCACTAAAGAGTGGCCTGATATGGACATCCCAAGTAAGTTCTCCACAAAGCAGGTAGCGAAGTGGAGGTCAGAGGGTGTTTACCAGGGTGCCCTGGAATTCAGTACCTGGGAAAGGCAGGGTAGGAAGGGGTGAGCGAGTGGCTGCCTTGACCTCGCACAGCAATCGTTACAGCTAAAATGAGACTGTTCAGAACCAGGCTAAGTTTAGACCAACATGGCGGACCTTTAGACCTTTGGACTGATCAGATACTGGATGTAGACCAGTAAGGGAACCAAAAGGACATGACCTTGGATAAGGCGGCTTTCTGCAGCTGAGCAATCCGTGAAGAGTTAACAGCTAAGCACTATGGACAGACGGACGGTACTGCCAGCAGCTGGGTCAACAAATCCTTCGGTGAAGGGGTTTCTGGACCATGACTTACAGTGTCCACCCCCCGTGGAAAACCTCAGTGCCTGCTTCAGACCCATTGAAAGGTGAGGGGGAATATATTTTTAAGATGTTTTATGTGGTTAAGCATTAAAAGAAAAAAAAAAAAGCCAAGAAAGGGTGCCAAACGTGAAGTGAGCTAACAGGCAGAACACACTTGGTCCAGATAGATGCCACAGTATGGTTTTAGGTCTCAGGAAACAGATGCAGAATATTCTGGAACATATGACCTTCAATACATAGCTGATCAGTGCTCCTCCAACCAAGGAAGAAGAAAATAAGTTGCTGCAGTATCTAGTACGTTTCAACCACATGTTTTAGTTCCACGGAAGACTTCCCAGAGATGAACTGCTCATCTCTTTCCTATCTGAGCTACCCAGCTATATTACACCCCCCCAGCCTTGCTTTCAGCCAGAAGAGATCATGTGACTGATGCGTTGACTTCCCAAGCTGGCTGTTCACAGCCTCACACGTGCACCTGTGCTCTATCAGAAGACTTGGCACAGAGGACAGAGACCTTGGAAGCCACTGCTGAAGGTCAGAGAGCCACCGATGGAAGGGGTGTCCGCCCCTGAGACCGTGCATGGAGGAGAGTGTCCATCACCAAGGACAGTTGCTTTTCCACTCACACCATCATATCCTGTCTGGGCGATGGCACCTTTGGCTACTTTTCTATTTCATTTGTATCAGATCAGCAATGTGTCTACGTTGTCACAAGATTTGGAAGAGACTCATGTTACCTATGTGTGGGGTGAACACACAATCACCATATTTATAAACCACAAAAGGATTTTAGTTCAAGCTAGCATTACCTTATACAGTTTCCTTAAATAAGAATTCCCCATCCTGTTTCTTTAAATAAGAGTTCCTCATCCAATTTAACCCCCCACCATCCTGTGTCTGTCTGATTCACTCTAATGAAATTCTATTTATCACATTTCAGTTGCCCCAAGAGAGACACTCTCACTGTAGAAATCTTGGTCACTACCTGAAATTCTATCATAGAGCCTGGCTCATCATCTTGTCACTGATCCAACCTCTCTTTAGGGCATATCTTTTTTATTTATTCTTCTCCACCAGAAATTACAAACAGGTGCTTGCTCTCCAGCCACACTGTCACTTGAAGTCTCTTCCTTGCTCCAGTTTATATCCTCAACAACAACGTACATAGCAGCAGATGATTGTTGATGGGGTCAATAACAATTGAGAATTGTCACCAAATGTGAGGCTAAGCCTCTGATCTCTTCGACACAGCAATACTGTGCAATAAGGCTACCCAATATGTGTATGTCAACAGAAAACAGTGCAGGTTGTGTACTGCAAAGCTCCTATTTATATACAAAGGAAATCAAGTTGATGTCGAAGCCATTATTTCTGCACATAAAACTTAGCACAGCATTCTCTTTTTGTTCTCCTGACAAGATCAAGGAAACTGGCGTGTGTAGCTATTTTTAAGATATGCACAGGGTTCCCCTGAGCAAATGGTCTCTCACTAAATTAGTAAGTGAGTAATGGTAATGAGATTACTCTGGGAATAGTGCATGTCAGAAAAGCACAGTGCTCCTGGGAACAAAAAAGCAAGCCTTTCAGGAAATCTTAATCTGCTACTGAATAAACACATCTGTCCAGCACAAGGCCAAATAGCTCATAGATCCCTGATCTTCTAGAGCATAAATAAAAATTTAGACAATGCTCAAGGGCAATGCATTCTTGCCCTTCTCTGAGATTTGCACTGGAATTACAAATAAGTGGATGGGAAGAAAATATGGCCTTCTGTGGGGGGGGGGGGGGGGGGAGAGGGAGAGGGAGAGGGCATGTCTGTGTGTATCCCTGTGTTCTTGGGATTGAACTCCAGGCCTAGGTTCTGTCCCTGAGCTTTTTTTTTTGCTCAAGACTAGTACTCTACCACTTGAAATATAACTTCACTTACAGATTTTTAGTGGTTAACCAGAGATAAGAGTTTCACAACTTTCTTGGCTTTGAACTGTGATCCTCAGATCTCAGCCTCCTGGGTAGCTAGGATTATAGGCATGAGCCACTAGCACCCAGATGCCTTCTTTGGTATTTTCAGAGACTAACAGTAAATGCCAATGCTGGCTAAATGAAAGATGTCTGATTCCTATGCACCCTAAAGAAGGCTCTAGAACCCTAGACCTACCCCTACTCCTTCTGTGAGGATGACCCAGCATAGTAGCTATTCACTTCTAAATCAGCCTTTTTTTCTTACCTAAGAACTGGTGAGACTAAGACTCACTCATGATTGCGCATTTGGTACCAAGGTTTTAGTAAATGTTTATTCAATCGCTGTCAGCTCATCATGGAATTTTCCTACCGCCCTCAAGCCAATAGTGATGAATTCTCTCTTTGTTATGAGTCGACTTGGGCAGAGCACAAAAATAATCATCAGTCACACACTCTCTCTTCTGACCAGGGAGGATGTTCCATGGAGACAGGAATGTTCTTGCTCTTTCTTGGTATTTGTGGGGCCAATCATCTCTCTCGTGCAATCCTTTGAGGATGCTTGCACCACTGGTATCATCTTATCATGATGAGTTCTTGACATTATCACATCCCTGATGACTCTGCGTGTGCAGAACTTGTTGGCTAGTTCTGGCAATGTCTTCATTTTCGGCCATTACTGTAACCCATAATTGGAAACTTAAACAGCTTGAACAAACGCTGCTTTATTAGCTCACAGCTCTCTAGGCCAGAAAGTCCAAGCAGGCTCCAAGTCTTTGCTGTGCATCTCACATGATCAGCCAGGCTGGGCTTTTCTCTCAAGTCTGTAGGGGGAAAACACACTTCCACACTCATTCAGGCTGTCAGTAGAATTCACTGTCATGTAGTTGTAAGACTGAGATCCTCAGAGTCTTTGTTGGCTGTTGACCAGGGGTGATAATCAGCTTCTAAAGCCACCCACTTGCCTTGGCTGGTGACCTCCTTCTTTCGTGTTCAACTTGGTAATGGTGGGCTTGGAGTCCTCCTTGGAGGAAGTCCTTGGAGCGAATTGCCCTTCCCTTCTGTCTCCTTTATCAGTCTCTGCTGTTGCTTTTAAGGGCTCGTATGCTTACATCAGCCTGTCCTATCAAGGTGACCTCTCTGCTGATTTGTCACTGGCTCAATTGGCAAAATAATCCTTTGCAGTCGGTCAAACATGATCTCATGCAGCTACCAGGAGAATGGGAATTTAGAACTGTCTCCCATCTTCATAGAAAGCGAAGAAAAAAATCCCAAATGCTAGACAATTGTTATATCAATTAATCTCAGACGAAATAGCCATTGCTTCTGCCATATTCTAGCTATTAGAAATTAGTAAGACCACTCACGCTCAAGGGCAAAGGGTGAGTGTACCAAATTTGGGGTACTGGCAGGCAGGAATCATTGAAGATCATAGAAAGACAGCCTATCACAGCAAGGAAAGGCAATTATAATACAATGTATTGCTTAGTTCAGCTTGTATACAAACATAATAAGGTAAATCTGGAACATGTATGTAAGCAAAAGTATCACAACATGAAACTGAGAGGTGGTAATTACAGGAAGAGAAGAAAGCTAAGTGTTCCTCGTGACTGTCCGAAACACCTAAAAATGGTGAGTGGAGAAGTAGCCCTCGATGTTATTTAGAGACATAAATGGGAAATGGAAAAATCGGAGCTGGAGAAACGTCACTATGGGACGGTTGCTGGCGAGAGTGGCTATGGTTTATCACATGGCTCATAGAATCCATTGACTCGTAAACCACGTGTGCATGGAACTTTGGTTAGACAAATGGGAAAGAAAACAAAAAGGAAAAAAAGGAAGGAAAGTGAGGAAAATTGTGAAATTGCTAGTCTCTAATGAAAACAACACCTCTCTGCGATAAAACGATTAAAAGAAAAACGTCACCCCAAGTAATATAAAATAGGAGAGGCCAATAATGAAGACAGACCATAACCAATGGGTGGTTGTACCTCTATTTCACTTGCACATTTAACCATCTGACCCCCTGTCTGCCCTCCAGGCCTGGGACCAGCCGGGAAGGCCAGCCTACAATCTGCCTTCTGTGTCACCCTTGTTTCCTACTGTGCCTCCCCTGCTTCCTGATGCTTGGTGGCATTTCTAGATGATCAGTCTAATGGTCAGACTTTGGAATACTATCCATGCAAATTTGACAGCTCATGGTTATTTGTGAGACCCTCAAGTTGGTTCCTAGGCCAAACTCATGTCCACCCTAACCCTTGCACCCTAGCAGCCAGGGGCTATGTCTGGATCAAGATCAGGCTGCCCGCTCCTTGTCAGTCAGTCCCATGGAGTGTTTCTTTCCCAGGGGCTTTTCCTGACCTTCCAACCTCAACGTGCATTTGTCCACATCCCCATCAATGCCTGTCACGTAACTCCACCTCGTTTTCTTCTAGCATCTGCCAAATCTTGCTTTTGATTTTTCTTTGTTTCATTCACAGGGGTGTTCTTGAGACCTATGATTAAAGTTTCTGCATTATATCAGCTACCCAATACATAAATAAATGTGGAATGGAAAAGTAGATTTGTGTAGTGCCATAGCTCATATTTACTGCAACAATACTACATAGCAAATCACCCTAAAACTTGACATCTTGGAGCAGCAACCATTTTTTCCCCCTTGATCATCCATCTATGGGTCAACTCGAGTTCAGCTGGCCTTGGGTGAGCCCAGGCAGGCTCGTCTCCACGCATGCCTATGTTCAGTCTCATACCAAGTGTTTCTTCATGGCTCTCAGACTAGAAGCTCCCTGGGACATATTCGTCTCCCAGCAGACCCCCAGACAAAGGTATCAGAACCATTCCATGCTTTCTTTTGTCAGTCATGGGGCTTGAACTCAAGGGCCTGGGTACTGTCTCTGAGCTCTTTTGCTCAAGGGTGGACTCTACCACTTTTAACCACAGCTCCACTTCCAGTTTGCTGGTGGTTCATTGGAGATAAGAGTCTCACCAACTTTCCTGCCCCAGCTGGCTTCGAAACATGATCCTCAGATCTCAACCTCTTCAGTAGCTAGGATTACAGGCGTGAGCCACCAGAGCCCAGCCGTGACATGCTTCTTGAAGCCTCGGTGGGAACTGCTACTTGTTTTACACCTTTCTACTGATCTAAGCAAGTCAAGTGACTAAAACTAACAAGGAAAGTAAGAAAGTATACCATGGATGCTGTCATTTAGGCTCATGACAACAAATTTGAAAACACTGATAGACACCATCCAACAGTAAAACTGTAAATCGTTTGGATCTTGTCCGACCACTCCATTTTTCAGATAAGAAAACAGACTCTGAGAAATGGAAATCAAAAAAATACTCCATGGTTATAACAAAGGTGGGGGGCAGACATCTTAAATTAGCACAATAAGTCTACTTAATCTGAATAGACTAATAAATGAATTGCACCGAGTGAAAGAATCTATTGGAGAGGTAGGAATTAAAGGCACAGTCAGAAAGGAAGATCTTAGGGACAGTAGGGGATGAGGTCAAGGTAGGCCTGGGAAAAGAAGGCTGCTGCCTGAAAGAGAGAGAGAATCAGCAGGTCTGCACAGATGCTTCTGGGCTGTAGGGAAGGAAAAACAGGATCCTGATATGCAGGTGTGTGAAATAAAGTATCACACGAGGCCAATTTAAAGATGCCCGGTCATAGCTTGCATTGGGGGAGATTCGTGATTGATGATGGCTTCTCAGACCCCAGTGTTCCCGGCCAGCTAGCTGTCCCACTTAGGAGCATTGCAAGAAGGTTTCACTGTCTGTAACTCACCAGACTGTGCTCAACACCGTCAGTGAGTGTTGCTATCCT